CATGCTTTGGCTCTCGGCGATTACACCGGGGGGCGGGTGTGGATCGAAGACGACGAGGGCGACTCGACCGCGATGCTGGCCGGCAAGAGGGGCGACCGGGAGCTGCGGGGACGATGGCTGGACATGCACGACAAGCCCGTCAGCTTCAATGCTCGCCGCTATCACATGGTGGAGCCACACCAGGGCAGCATGTGGGCTCTCGCAGCTTATGTTCCGCAAGCCTACGCTCGCTCGACTGAGCAGCACCGAGAAGCGCTGAGAGAAGCGGGCTTTCCGTTGCCTGTCTAAGACCAAGTGGCCGGGGCTGGAGGTTTTTCGGTCGATTTTCTCTCTCTGGGGAGGGTGTTCCAGCACTCCACTCTGTGATGGCTACAAGCCTTAGTTCAAGACATGGGTCAGAATTCGGTACTTTGGAGCACTGTCGATTCACGGGCCTACGGCCCGCAGCTCAGACGATCTTAGGGGCTCTAAAGTCTTTGCAAAACGGGCTTTAGAGGAACTTTAAGGGCGCGCCTCCTGCCAGCAGCTCGCCAGCAGCATACAAGCTTCTTGCTGGCAACTTACGAGCACTCGCCAGCAGCTTACGAGCTTCTTGCTGGCAACTTACGAGCACTCGCCAGCAGCTTACGAGCTTCTTGCTGGCAACTTACGAGCACTCGCCAGCAGCTTACGAGCTTCTTGCTGGCAACTTACGAGCACTCGCCAGCAGCTTACGAGCTTCTTGCTGGCAACTGACGAGCGACTTCAAAGCTGCAGCCCAGCAGCTTACGAGCTACTTGCTGGCAACTGACGAGCGACTTCAAAGCTGCAGCCCAGCAGCTCCCGAGCCCCCTACGAGCTGCTCCCAAGCCCTCCGCGCCGGAACAGCGCGCGTAAGCGCGCGTCGCCCTCAAAGCTTCCGAGCCTGAGCCTCCCGGCCCAGAGGCGGCTGAGACATTGAGACTTTGAGACAACCGGCCTGGAATCGAAGCGAATGTCTCAAAGTCTCAATGTCTCAGCCCCCTCCGGCCCAGAGCCCTCAGAACCGGTTGTCTCAATGTCTCAATGTCTCAGGTCCCCTCCGGACACTCTCCAACTGCCTCCGAAGCCGCCCGCGCCCGTTTTGCAAGCACTTTGGAGCCTCTAAGATTGCGAGCCGTACGGCCTCCAGCCCTCAAAATCGACAGACCCTCCGAGTATCGAATTCTACCCTATGTCTCGAAAACTAGCCTCGTAGCTACAGTACTACAGAGGGAACTGGAACACCCTCCCCAGAGAGAGTGATTTCTTTCGTTCGCTTTCGCCCCGAAAAGCGATTCGTGTTTCTTCTTTGCGTGTGTGAGAAGTTATAGTATGGTTAGTGCTTTATCTTTGTGGAGGTCGAAAAAAAAAGATCGTTTTCTTGTAGTTTGTGGTCTTTGTGGCTACTCTGTGTGGCTACTCTTTGTGGCTACTCTTTGTGGCTGCTCTTTGTGGCTACTCTTTGTGGCTACTCTGTGTGGCTCTTTGTGGCTACTCTGTGTGGCTGCTCTTTGTGGCTACTCTTTGTGGCTACTCTGTGTGGCTACTCTTTGTGGCCACTCTGTGTGGCTACTCTGTGTGGCTACTCTTTGTGGCTACTCTGTGTGGCTACTCTTTGTGGCTACTCTTTGTGGCTACTCTTTGTGGCTACTCTGTGTGGCTACTCTGTGGGGCTACTCTGTGTGGCTACTCTTTGTGGCTACTCTTTGTGGCTACTCTTTGTGGCTACTCTTTGTGGCTACTCTTTGTGGCTCCCTCCAGAGCCCTGTTCGTGCGCAACATGCGACGGGTTCAGGCTTGCGATTTTGCTGCCGGGCGCAGTACTTTCAGGCATTCTTGCTTCTAGAGGGTGCCAAAGTACTGGTTTTTGCGGCATTTCCTGCACGTGTCCGGGTTGTTCCCGCAGACCTCTGAGCCTCGAAGAAGCTTCAGCTGATGACGTGCAGATCAGACTCCATCCATTGCCGCAGAGCATCCATGTGCCAACCATGATGACGTGCAGATCAGACTCCATCCATTGCCGCAGAGCATCCATGTGCCAACCATGATGACGTGCAGATCAGACTCCATCCATTGCCGCAGAGCATCCATGTGCCAACCATGATGACGTGCAGATCAGACTCCATCCATTGCCGCAGAGCATCCATGTGCCAACCATGATGACGTGCAGATCAGACTCCATCCATTGCCGCAGAGCATCCATGTGCCAACCATGATGACGTGCAGATCAGACTCCATCCATGCCGCAGAGCATCCATGTGCCAACCATGATGACGTGCAGCTCTTCGCCTGAAGAGAAAAATACAGCATTTTTTCGGACAGTCTTGCGTAGCCCAACATCTCGAATTCATTGGCAGGGCCAACGAATTTGCAACATGCGCGCCTTTGCGCGCGCGCGAACAAAGCCCTGGCGCGTTCTGGCTACTCTGTGTAGCTACTCTGTGGCTACTCTTTGTGGCTACTCTTTATGGCTACTCTGGCTACTCTGTGTGGCTACTCTGTGTGGCTACTCTGTGGCCACTCTTTGTGGCTACTCTTTGTGGCTACTCTGAATGGCTACTCTGGGTGGCTACTCTTTGTGGCTTACTCTTTGTGGCTACTATGTGTGGCTACTCTGTGTGGCTACTCTTTGTGGCTACTCTTTGTGGCTACTCTGTGTGGCTACTCTTTGTCGCTACTCTTTCTGGCCTCGTCATCGCCTCGTCGTCGCCGCCCCTCTATCCTCACCCGTATCCCGCGGTCCTCATCACCCGCGGTGCTCCGTCCTCACCACCCGCGGTCATCACCACCCGCGGTCCTCACCAGCCTCGTCGTCGTCGCCCCTCTAACCCGCGGTCCTCACCACCAGCGGTCCTCATCCGCGGTCCTCACCACCCGCGGTCCTCACCAGCCTCTTCGTCGTTGCGTCGTCGTCGCCGCGTCTGCGCCTCGTCGTCGCTGCGCCTCGTCGTCGCTGTGGCTCGTCGTCGCCGCGTCGTCGTCGCCGCGTCTTCGCCGCCGTCGTCGTCGAGCCATCGTCGTCGAGCCGTCGTCGCTCGTCGCGGCGAGTTGCGGTCTTTCCCGATTGTCAACCCACCACGCGCCGCCAAATGTTGCCACGCAAATGTTGCCACCCCCGGTCGTCGCCTCGTCGTCATCGCCCCCCGCCTCTACTCTCACCGGTATCCTCCCCTATCCTCACCGGTATCCTAACCTCTGTCCTCACCGCCCGGCTCACACCACCAGCGCCATCGTCATCTCGTCGTCGTCGCCTTCCCCCGCCTCTCTCCTCACCGGCATCCTCACCTCTATCCTCACCCCGGCTCATACCACCAGCGTCGGTCGTCGCTGCATCGTCGTCGTCCCTCCCCGCCTCTCTCCTCACCGGTATCCTCGCTCTATCCTCACCGCATCCTCACCTCCATCCTCACCGCCCGGCTCACACCACCAACGCCGGTCCCTCCCCCTCTATCCTCACTTGGCAGAACACTCAGGCAGAACATTTGGGCAGAACATTTTGGCCGAACAGAACCGGTACAACAGGCCCAACAGTGAGGGGATTTGGGTGCAGCGACTGTGAGGCCTGGGGGCTGCAGCGACTGTGAGGGGCACATGGGGGCTTCGACCTGGCACCTGCAGCCTGCCAGTCGCCCACAGCCTCGCGGGTGCCCTGCAGCCCGAGTAGTCGCCGGCCGTCACAGTCGCTGCAGCCTCACTTAAGAGGATGGGTGAGGATAGCGGTGAGGACATCGGTGGGCGTTGGTGGTTTGAGTGGGGCGCAGTGAGGACGAACACGCGTGCACGACGACGGTGGTGGGTCGACTGTGAGGGAGGAGCGACGACGACGCGGCAACGACAACGCGGCGACGACGTCCACGACGAGGCGGCGACGACGGGTGCCCAGGTGCCCTCGCAGTCGCTGCAGCCCTCCAGCTGCTGTCACAGTCGCTTCAACTGCCCCTTGCAGTCACTGCAGCCTCCAGGTCCCCTTGCAGGGGCACCTGGCGGCTGCAGAGACTGCTTGGGCTGCAGGGCGCCCAAGCTGCAGCGACTGTGAGGGCTGGGACTGTGAGGGTCCGCTTGGGTGAAGCGACTGCTTGGGGACTGTGATCGCAGAGGCTGCAGCGACTGTGAGGCCGCTTGGCGGGCTGCAGCGACTGTGAGGGCACCTGGGACCTGCACACTGCAGCGACCCCCCCGCCGTTGCCGCTTCCGCGTCGTCGCGTCGTCGTCGCGTCGTGGCTGGCAAGTTTTGGCTGGCAACATTTGGTGTGAAAAGTTGTACCTCTGAGCTGCCTGTTCAATGGTGGAGCCGCTCAGTGTGATGGGCTGCGATATGTATATCATCAGGCTGCTGACTGCAGTTTGGGAGCAAGCCAATTTTCCTGCGAGTCCTGGAATTTTCTGAGGTGCAATGGTTATCTGGATATATCAAAGCACTGGAAGATTTTCACTGGGAGCTGCGGTTTTCATGGCATGGAACCTTGGTTTTCAGCTGCGAGAACAGTTTTCGACATGTGGCATGAGTTGCTTGAGCTTTTGAGTGAGCTGAGTGAATGCTGTGAGCCGTTAGTTTGATTAGAGTCCGCATGAGTTCTCGAAGGCCTCAAGGTACCTTCTCGAACAGCTGTAGTGTGTGCAAGTTTGTTTGCCAGCGTAGAGCTTGTAGGAAGCTGTGACGGCATGCTTTTGAAGCGAAGTTTTGTTTTGACATGTGCTGAAGCACATGTGAATCCGGAGTGCCGCGCTTATGTGTGGCTCAAGGCTGGAAAGCTTTGAGACTGAAGCTCGTTGAGAATGGGCCTGTGATGAAACTTGTTCTGAGGCCCATGAAAGCAGAAAGCAAAGCTTAAAGCTTTAGGTGACAGTAGTGCAGTGCAAGAACAGCTGAACACTTCGTTTGTTGCGCGAGCAAAAGTCTGTGCAGACCTTGACGGGTTGTTCAGGGTTTGTAAGTTTTACATGGTAGCGGAGCACTGTTTGTGCTCCCACACCATTTCCGCCGACCCAAAGAAGGTGTTATGTCTCAAAGGCCTATAGGTCCAAGTGCTGAGGCGCCAGCTCCGTGTAGTCCAGGTCTTGCTGAGGCTGGAGGGGAGTATGGGTGTGGTACAGCTGGGTGTGGGCAACAGGAAAGGAGGCAAACAGGTGTGGAAGGTGTGAGTGGTGTTGGGTCAAGCGATCCATGGTTTACAGGTGTTCAGAGAGATCCCTGGGCGTTGTACGGAAGTCGTATGCGTGCTGGAATGGGACCTGTGGAGTCTCATGTTAACATGCCGTGTCCACCTTCGAGCGGTACGTCTTCAGTTGCGAGTGCATGTGCTGGTATTAGGCCAGTGGCGCCAGTTCCAGGTTTGTCAGTGCCTTCGGGTCCTGCGAGGAATCTTTCGACAGTTCCGAGTCAAGGATGTTGCAGTCAGGTTTCTGGAGATAATGCTAGTGCAGGGAGACAGCTGCTTGATCGCATGAATGCGCGTGAGTTGCAGTCCTTGTATGCAGATCTTAGCCAAAGACTGAATGTCCCTGTGAGTGGACAGTTCGTTCCTGAGAGATTGGGGCAGTCGCCACCTGATTTGAATGTGCCAGCTTTTGTGAGACATCAAGGTAACACGTTACCTGGTGTTCCAGCTGAAAATGCGAGGAGCAGTGAAGACAAAGACGTCTTTAGTCGCAGTGAGAAGTGGCTAGGGTCTCCACCTTCGCCAAATCATCAAGCGTGGAAAGGGCGTGAATCCGAAGTGCTGGGCATGAATGCCTATATTCACGAGTTGGTTGCATGGGCGAATCAAGCAAGTGTTGAGTTTGGAAAGGAGATCGCTCAGGCCGCGCGATGGCCTACACAGATTGCATGGAACACGTTGTCTAAGAGTCAACAAGCGCGAGGAGTTCGTTTGTTTAGTGTGCTGAAGGCAGCGTTTGCAGATCATGGGCGGATAACTCTTATGATCCAAAGCTTCGGAGAAGGGCTTGACATTGTTGCAGTCGCCATGCAGGGAGATGTTTTCGGGAACTCTCTTTCGTATATGGGTAATGGTTTTGAGTTGCTTAGGCAGCTTGCCAAGGAGTTTTCTTTGAGAAGTCGTGCTGAGGCTATGAGTCTCAGGGCGATGCTGATGGCAAGAACGTTTCGAGCGCAAGACTCGTCAGCTCCAGTTGCTGACACAGTGCGTCAGATTGAGGTGGCAGTGGCAAGGTTTGTGCGTTTACTTTCGACGCTAGATCCTAGAGATGCTGCTGGGTTTGCTTTGACTGACAGTGATCAGCTTACGCTTTTGATGAGGTCTTTGCCTGAGAGCGCAAAGGCGTATACGTTACATCATTCGCAGGGTGAGACATATGCCTCATATCGATCTTCAGCTTTGCGATGGGAACATCAGCAGCGTTTGTTTCTTGAGTTGCAAGGGGCCAAAGGTTTGTTTGGCTTGCATGAAACCGAGTTTTCTGAGAGCGCAGGTTCGCCTGAGGCAGGTGAGGGAATGGATGGTCACGTCTTTGGCATGAGTGCTAGGCCTTCTGATGCTGGGAGCGGTGTGAAGTGCAACCGTTGTGGCAAGAAGGGGCATCAAGTGAATCAGTGCACGGCAGACCTTTCCAAGGTTAAGTGCTTCAAGTGCGGAGAGATGGGCCACATATCTTTGAACTGTGCCAAGGGCAAGCAGGGTGATGTTTCTCAGTCGAGTGCGAGGCCTAAGGGTTCTGATGGCAAAGGTGCTGCTGCGGCCAAGGGTCAAGTTTCTTTTTCGCCTAAAGGCAAGAGCAAAGGAAAAGGAGGAAAGAAAGGAAAAATGTTTGCTCTGTTTGATGAGGAAACGGGGGTTTGGTGGTACACAGATGCTGATGAATCTTTTTACACCGAGGAAGGTGATGAGCAAGAAGCACAGCAGGTGGACTCCACTCTTGTGTTATCTTGTGTCATTGAGTTAACTGATGAGCCCAATACGCGTTTTGAAGCTGTCTGTGAAGACAGCGAGTCGGTGTCTGTTGTGCTCCAAGAGCAGTTGTGTCAACCTTTGTTGCAGTCGTTGGGTCAGTCGCTTGGAAGTGAGTTTTGGCTGCTTGACTCAGGTGCGTCATGCTGTGTTATCAACCATGTGACGTTGAAGACGCTTCCGCATGATGAGTTGACTGCATGTGGTTCGACGTTTATGGCTGCGAATGGGACTCCTGTTCCCTTTGATGGTCGCTGCCATGTTGTGCTAAAGGTTCGCACAAAGGATTCAAGTGGAGCTACCAAGAATGGTGTCTGCAAGATTCCTGTGATGGTGGGTGACACTCCTTACAATATCCTGTCAACGCGAACTCTTGGAAGGCATGGTTGGCGTGTTGTCTTGGATGAAGGCGTTTCTGTGTGTCATGTGAAGTCGGGTGTTGATATGATTGATACCTGTATTTGGTGTGACACGCCTTGGATCCGCGTGATTCCTCATTCAGAAGGTGATCTCTTGTTGCCGTCGGATGCCTCAGTTGATCCTGCTCCAATTTCCTTGATTGGACATGTTGCAGTTGTTTCGCAGAAGACCAAGGAAGATCTTGAAATTCACAGAGCAAAGGGCCACATGCCCTTCCATCCTGATTGCGAGCATTGTCTGAAGTCCCGAGGTGTTACCCAACACAGGCGAAAGTCTGAGCGCGGAGTGGAAACAGAGATTGTTGCAGATTTTATGTTTCTCGACTCTTCTGGAGAGACGATCAGCGTAGCTGAGCGCCAGACAAGTAGCTCTTTCAAGGTCCTCGTCCTTCGTGAGGCCTTTTCTTCTTCTATTGGGGCTGTGATGATAACTGAGAACATTGCAAAGGACAGAGGTCTTCTTTTGAAGTGGCTTGCTGAGTTTGGGTTGTCGTCCTCACAGGCAAGCATTGTGCTTTTGACAGATTCCGAAGAAGCGGTGAAGTCGTTTGTTGCAGGTGCGTCGGATAAGTACATCTTTATGGTGCGCAAGGCTGCGCCACAAGCTCATGAACAGCTTGGTGGTGCGGAAAGGACAGTCCGGGTCCTTAAAGAAGGGCTAGCTACTCTGCAAAGTGATTTTCAGTCGCTTGGTTGCGTTTTGTCGTTTCGGAGAGACTTGTTGCAGCTTGCACTTTCTTACCTGTGCATGAGTGTGAATTCGAATGGCAAAGCTTTTGGCGGTGAACGCTCTCCAAAGGAGGTTGCAGTTGGTCGAAGGTTGCCAGATACCCCTTTTGCGTTGTTTGGGTCCAAGGTGCTTGCTGAGGTCCCTGAGTCTGTGAAGGCTTTGTGCCCGAATATGTCGCGTTTTGAGGCGGCAGCTTTTCTTCACCCACAATTTGGGTCGCTTGGGAGCTTGGTGTATGCGCATGTGCGTGTGGGCCAGGTCTTGACGCCAAAGGTGTTTGTTGCCAAGTCGATCAAGCTTGTGTTTCCGATTGAGCTTGTCTTCGAGTCGGGGATGTTTGAAGTTTTGCGTCGTCGTGGTGAGCTTGGGCCTGAGAGGCCAGATCATCCAGTTGCGCCTCGGATTCTTCCGAGTTCCCAGGGTGCCTCTTTGAAGTGTCCTGTTTCCGGTCCGCCAAAGGAGTTTTTGAGAGGTATGGGTTCTCAGGTGAGTGCCGAGCGTGTTCTAACATGGCACAATTTGGGTCTAGGAAGGGCTCTTCTCACGGTCGGGCTTGCTGTTTGAGATATGAAGCGTGGTTGCGGTCGCAAGTTGCAACAGATGACAGCATGGACGTTGAAGTGCCTGTGGCTTCGGATGCAGAGGCTATGCGTGAAGCTCTTTCTGAGCTAGCCGAGGATGAGTCGAGGCAAGACCGAGCTGTGGAGGAGGCTCAGGGTTCTCCTTTGCCTCCCCCGGCCAATGGGGACGCTGCTTCGTCTGAGGCTCCAGCGAGGATTGTGAGCGAGGCGGCCCCCAGTGGTCGTGTTTTCACGCGTGGTTGTCCTGCGTGCGAGTCTGGCATGAATGCTCCTGGCATTCGTCACAATGCTGATTGCAAGCGAAGGAACCAACATCTCAGTGTTAGATTTTCTGTTTCTGGGGAGCCCGATGATGACGAAGCTTCATCCAGGCGTCTGCCTGAAAATCTTGAAGGAGCTGCTGCTCCTGAGTCTGAGGGCATTGGGGCTCTTGATGAGGACACTGAGATGCCGTTTGCCGATCCAGTGTTGACTGGAAGTGAAGGCGGAGGCAGCCTAGAGGCTGAAGAAGTGCTTCGTGGAAGCAGTGCTGTGAAACGCTCCTCTGAAGTCCCGTTGGAAGATCTGGAGCGTGAGATCAGGCAGGACCAAGAAAGGGTTGCTTCAGTTATGGTTACCTTCCACAATTGCGAAACAGGGAATGATGTTCACATGCCTCTTGCGAGTTTTGTTGAGCAGGCGTTCCAGGTTTCCAATTATGTCCCTTTGCTTTCAGGGCTTGTGGATTCGGTTCAGTTCGCCCCGAACTCTACGAGTGTTGTTTTGCCGTTTGGAAAAAGATCGCATTTGAGACTTTGGAAGCCTAGTTCCGCTGTTGATGACTCTACCTTGGGTGAGCTTTCAGGAGATCAGGTCATGGAAGGCATGGTCAAAGAAGTCAACAATTTGAGTCACATGGAAACTGGGGATCTGTTGACTGCTTCAGAACTTCAGAGTCTTGAGAAGAGGTTCCCAGGTACCTTGAAGGTCATCCCTAGTCGTTGGGTCACGACGCAGAAAACACCAACTACAGTGCGAGCTAGGATTGTCATCAAGGATATTGCTGGCAAGAACTCAGAGTCTGCAAGGGCTTTGGGCATCTCGAGTCCTACTCCTAGTGCCGATGCTTTGTTCACGGTTCTTGGGGTTGCAGGTTGCAGAGATTGCGTGATTGCAGGTGCTGATGTATCTCACGCTTTCATGGCTACGCCTTTGAGAGAAAGGGATGTGGTGATGAGGTTTCCTCTGTCAGTGTCTTCGGTTTCAGGGGATCCTTTGTATCTTCACCTCAACAAAGCCCTCAATGGGCTACGCAAGGCTTCGCAAGAATGGATCTACTTCGTAGGGGAGACTGTGAAGGTTTTGGGGCTTCAAAGTTGCAGCTTAGAGCCGTGTCTGTTTTCAGGCATGCTTGAGTCAGGTCCCTGTTTGCTGTTGGTCTATGTGGATGATTTTCTGTGCATTGCGCCAACAAAGGAGGATGCAGATCACATCTTTGAGGTGATTGAGAAGAAAGTTGAACTCAAGAGAACCGGGTTGATCAATTCTTCCAAGGATGGCGGTGGCACTTTGCGGTTTATTGGTAGGGTTATCTCCAGGAGAAAGGGGGAGTCCTCTATCACAGTGTCTTTGCCAGAAGATTATTTGGATGAGACCTTCAAGGCTTATGGTCTTTCGGGAAAAGGTTCCTCAAGTCCTCCAGATGTTGCGGTTCATGTTGAGAAGCAAGATGGGGTTCCATTGTCTCCTGAGGCGTATGCCAGGTTCAGGTCTGCGTTGGGGAAAGTAGCTTGGATGACGCAGACTCGTCAGGACTTGCGTGCTTATGTGTCAATCTTGGCAACGCAGCAAGCCACACCCACGAATCATACTGAGCATGGTCTCCGAGCCTTGCTTCGATTTCTGAAGAACGACATGTGCGTGGTTGTGCGGTTGCCTGCTGCGAGTGATGTGTTGGCTCCCTCGCAACACTACCAAGGAAAGAGGCACCTTGTGTGTTTCTCTGACGCATCGCATGCGCCTTTGAGGTGCACGAAGCGCCGTGGCATCAGTGGAGGAGTGTTGACACTTGATGGCTGCGTGATAAAGACTTTGTGTCGTCACCAACAGCTTGTGTCGCTGTCGTCTATGGAGTCAGAGCTGTTTGCGTTGCAGTCGGTTGCTCAAGAAATGTCGAGTCTTGGAAAGTTCATGGCAAGGGTCTTCATGTCGTTTCGAGAAAGCGAGGAAGTTGAATTGCCTGGGATACTTTACAGTGACTCAGAAAGCGCTTTGAAGCTTCTTCGCAATTTGGACACACCCAGACAAAGCAGACATCTTGAGATAAGAGTCGAGTGGCTTAAAGCTCGTGTCGCAGCGGGTTCTTTGGTCCTTGCGTTTAAGAAGGGAATCGAAAATCCGTCAGACCTCTTGACTAAATGTTTGGGGTCCTCGGCTTTCGGGATACATCGCGAAGCGTTGGGCTTTGAGTCGCTGTCGGGACCACTTGCGTCTTTGTGCAATCATGAGAAGAGATTGGTGATGGTTGAAGTGTGCTGTCGACCGCAGTCGAGTGTTCAAGGTGCATGTCGCAGAGTCGGGATGAGTTACGTTGGCGTGACTGAGAACATGCAGAGTGACAGCGTGTTCAAAGAGGTGCGTCGATATCTTCTGAACTTTGCGTGTGACTGCGTGTTTGTGCATGTGTCCACGCCTTGCTCTTCTGGATCTTACTTGCGTCGGTTCTCTGGCGGGAGCTCGTCGAAGTCGGATTGGGAATGGTTTGAGGTGTTTCCTTGTGTGTTGAAGTACTTGAAGCTTGGGAAGCACTCGAGCTTTGAGCTGCCATGGAACAATGAGATTTGGCAACATGACTTGTGCCAGAAGGTGCTGAAGAAGGCAGGCCACACGTTCGATGTGCCGGTGAGGTTGTGCATGACTGGTCTTTGTTCGAAAGGGGGTGAGCCTATAGGCAAAGTCTTGGGTTTTACTTCGACTTCTGAAAAGTTTGTGTCTGCCCTGAAGTGTTTTTCCAGCTGCAGGTGTGCTAAGCATGCAAGTCTGTGGCAAGTTGGGTGGACCGAAACAGGTTTTTACACTCCGAAACTCGCTGATGCGATTGTTCGAGGTGCGATCAAAACGTTGCAGTGATGCTTTTGGGGGTTTGGGCCGGGCTGTTGGCTGGGTTCGGATTCTCCTCTTGACGCCGGTTTCTTTGCGGACGTTGAGGTCTGCAGACAAAGCTCCGTACTGGTGCTAGTTGTTTTTGCGTGTGAAACCTAGGTGCGAACTCGTGCTGCCATGGTTCTCACGACCGATGAACGCAGGGAGCTGCGCCGTTTGCTGGATAAGATGGATTCTGCAGATGGCTTGGCTTCGACTGCCAATACTTCTATGACCGATGGGACCAAGCGTCTCAGAGATGTGGGTGGATATCCAGAGGATGGGTCTACTGCATCAGGATCTGCTTGCGGTGCCCAGCTGCCGATTTCAAAGGGAAGCGCAAAGGGTGCTGTGAGCACTCCCAAGTGTTATGAAGACCTCGTCGATGCATTCGAGGGGGAAGAGTTTGGGGATAGCGACAATGTGATTGTCGTGAGCTATGCAGGTACTGAGGTCACCTCGGTGCCACTTCCAAGTAATCTATCTATGGAGGATTGGGGTCGGACAATCTGCGATCTGCCAAAGGTCCAGAAGAATAAGATGTGGTTTAAGAAGTCCTATGCGACCTTGGTCAAGCTTGCCAAGGAGGATAGCGACCTTGCAAGCTACCTCAATTGGATCAAGGAGAAATTTGGTCGCAATTATGATCCGACGACCTCCTCCAGTCAGTCCTCGGACCTTGCGGGGTATTTGATGAGGATTGGTTTTTCAAAGCAGAAGGGATTCCAGCGCAAGTTGGCGGAGGAGTAAAATCCTCGCTGGGATTGCGGAAGGAGCATGGGTACATGTATGAGCGGTGAGAGCTGGTATTCTCAAGGATGCCTATGTGTATGTTCACTGTTAGAAGTCTGTTGGGCTTCGCTTTGGGTGACGTCCTGTCTGGCATGAGAGAAGAGCTGGCTATCTGGCGCGAGATTTTTCCAATACCTATGTCTTCGTCGCTTCGCATGGGTTGCAGCGTGGCTACATGGTTGGCAATGTTTCAATGTGTGCTTGGTGTCGAGAAGTGCTTGTTTTGGACAGCAGCAAGGATGAGAGATGATACACACATCGAAAGGGGGTGTGAAAAGTTGTACCTCTGAGCTGCCTGTTGAGTGGTGGAGCCGCTCAGTGTGATGGGCTGCGATATGTATATCATCAGGCTGCTGACTGCAGTTTGGGAGCAAGCCAATTTTCCTGCGATTCCTGGAATTTTCTGAGGTGCAATGGTTATCTGGATATATTCTGCATGGTTTTGGTTTTGCAGAGGTTTTCTCAAAGCACTGGAAGATTTTCACTGGGAGCTGCGGTTTTCATGGCATGGAACCTTGGTTTTCAGCTGCGAGAACAGTTTTCGACATGTGGCATGAGTTGCTTGAGCTTTTGAGTGAGCTGAGTGAATGCTGTGAGCCGTTAGTTTGATTAGAGCCCGCATGAGTTCTCGAAGGCCTCAAGGTACCTTCTCGAACAGCTGTAGTGTGTGCAAGTTTGTTTGCCAGCGTGGAGCTTGTAGGAAGCTGTGACGGCATGCTTTTGAAGCGAAGTTTTGTTTTGACATGTGCTGAAGCACATGTGAATCCGGAGTGCCGCGCTTATGTGTGGCTCAAGGCTGGAAAGCTTTGAGACTGAAGCTCGTTGAGAATGGGCCTGTGATGAAACTTGTTCTGAGGCCCATGAAAGCAGAAAGCAAAGCTTAAAGCTTTAGGTGACAGTAGTGCAGTGCAAGAACAGCTGAACACTTCGTTTGTTGCGCGAGCAAAAGTCTGTGCAGACCTTGACGGGTTGTTCAGGGTTTGTAAGTTTTACATTTGGTGCGGCCCGGTGGCAACTTTGCCCTGGTAAATTTGGTGCGGCTCGGTGGCAACATCTCGGTGGCAACGTTTCGGCCGTGTCCTCCTCGTCGCTGCGTCGTCGTCGTCGTCGTTGCCGCGTTGTCGTCGCGTCGTCGTCGTCGTCGCTCTGTCGTCGGGTCATCGTCGTTGTGGCTGCGTCGTCGCCTCGTCGCCCTCTATACAGCTATCCTCACCCATCCTCTTGGGTCAGGAGTGAGGGGGAGCAATGAGGCCTGGGCACTGCCGCGAGGCTGGGGCACCTGAAGGCTGCAGCGACTGTGAGGGCACGTGGGGGCTGCAGCGGGGGAGAGGCTGTTGTCGTCGCCGCCTCGTCGTCGCCGCGTCGTCGTGTCCCACCTCGGCGCGGCTCGGTAGCGACATTTCGGTGGCGACATTTCGGTGGTGACATTTCTGGAGCGACATTTCGGTGGCACCATTCGGGCGCGGTCCTTGTCACCGCGTGTTCGTTGTCGCCTCGTCGTCGCGTCGTCGTCGCCGCATCGTCGTCGCTGCGCCTTTGGCGTTAGGTGAAGAGGAGCAGTGGGGCCTGTGAGGCTGAGACCGCTGGGGCTGCAGCGACTGTGAGGGGCACCAGGGGGCTGCAGCGACTGTGCACCTGGGACCTGCAGCGACCGTGAGGGGCACCTGTGGGGGCTGCAGACTCGCCTGCGCCGTCGCCGCGTCCACGTCGTCGTGTCGCATCGTCGTCGCGTCGCATCGTGGTCGCGTCGTCGTCGCGTCGTCGTCGCGCCGCCCTCACCTCTACCCCGCTATCCTCACCCCATCCTCTTGGGTCAGGAGTTCTAGGACCCGCGGGAGGGGTGCAGCGCTGCGCATGCCTGGGCTCTGTGAGGGTGTGGTTCGGCGCAATGACGGCGCCCAGCAAAGCAGCGAGGGCACCTGTGAGAGGGCACTTGGGGCCTGGTGAGCTTGAGTGGGCAGTGAGGGTGTCTGTGAGGGCGCCTGCATGAAGCCTTTGCATCCAGTGAAGGCACGAGAGCAGCCGGGGCTGTGAGGGCACCCATGCTAGTTGTGAGTTTGTGTTTTTGATTCAACTGTGTTTTCTTATCTGTGTCGAAACCTTCAAACGCTCCGCGCTGCTTTCGGCACCAGCACTCACAACTAGTGTTCGCTTTCTTGCATCGCATGCATAAGAAATTTTTCACAACAACAACACACGCGATTTCATCCTTGCTACGCATTGCATGGCAGTTTTCCGCCATATCGACGCCATGGATCCGCCCGAGGCAGCAACCCCGGACCAATTGGTCCGCGCACTGCAAAGCCTCGCAGAAGATTGCATTGAAATGGGCACATCGATTCATGAGCGCATAGACGCACTCTCTGACCGCATTCAGGCTGTCCTTGCAAAGCTCGGCAGCCTGGAACGCCGCATTGCAATCCTTGAAGGCGCACCGCAATGCACGGATACTGTTGATTCGCCGCTAGAAGAGATGGACTAGCACGCACTGCATACGCGCAGCCTTTACAGCTTTACAGCTTTCTTGCTTGCATTTCCTGTCCCTGCCATGTCACAGCGCGTGGGGAACAAGAAGCAACGCACCGCCAGGGCTATAGAACGATCGCCGGAGCCCTCGCACAGCCATAGAGCAAGAGTGGAAGCATGGCTCGCAGAGTGCATGGCAATGCCGGCCAGTGAGGTTAGCACCCCACCTGTATTCCCCAACCTTGTGGAATTATTTATATCGCCTCGCACAGCCAGCTTTGTCTTCAGCAGCCTTGCTTGGAATGATCGCAACGCATTTAGCATTTGTAGTCTATCAGCAAACCGCCGAGCTGCACTACTCTGGAATCTCAACTGACCTCGCTCAGCCTTGAGGAGCCTTCCGCCTCTTCATCGATGCCACGCTTTCACAGCCACGCCCGGCAGGTGGAGGCCCTGATGAGCATTTACATCGCACAACCAAGCAGATCTGACCTTGCAACGCTTTCTATCGCTGAGCTCAAGGAGATTCTGCTTTCCCAACGCACTGCAAGCTTTATTTTGAGCAGCCTTGCATGGCACGAACGCAAAATCATAAGTCAGCTTTGCAATGCAGTGCACCGCACCGCCAACAGCTTGTGGTTTTTATCGAATCATGATCGATACATTGCCAACGCAGCTCTGAACAGATACAGCTCATAGCCCTGCACAGCAATGCTTGCGACGCCCCGCTCAGCCTGGGCCTGGCTCACCATTGCATCCGTTTTCGTCGCATGGCGCCAGCAACTGCAACGCAGGTTGCAACGCACCGCACGCAGTGCACGGCGGCGTTTTGACGTTTACAGGTATCGGCTCTTGCGCTTTACCTTCACCGCACTGCAGTGGAATGCAATGCATTTCGGCGCTTTTGCCTTGGATGCTATGCACCGCAGTTCCCGGCAAGGCACCGCCACACAAAGTCCCAGCACTGCAGAGCACAGCTCATGGCGCAAGACATGGACATCGCTGGATAGCCATATTGTATTTTATTTACTCAGGCACTTCGCATATGCAGAAACTCGAGCATTGCGAGCCACTGCATCGACATTGCACCGCAGAATACAGAGCGTTATGCAACGCACAGGTACCATCGATTTGGATGGACGCACTGCAATGGTTTGGCTCCGCCAACATGATCATGATGTTTTCGCACAGATCCTGCCACCATTTTCTTTTAACCCGCAACGCAGCACGCTCTGCGTAGTCGAGTTCATTGATTGATGATTTTTGCAACGCTTTGCACAGCCACGCATAGGGAAATAGAACGCCTTGCTTCATGATATTTCGTTTGCAAGTTTGCCTCAAGCTTGCTGTTTTGTGCTGGGCTCGCATAGCCTCGCATCGCATTGTCAGGTCAGCCGCGCTGCACCCTCAGGCCAGTCCAGCTGGTCTCTTCTTCGGCAGTTGCCGCGCCTGGCAGGTCACATGACAGCATCAGCCCAGCAAGGGCCCCAGAGAAGCCTCTTCTCTGCTTTCTTTGCGCAGCCTTTTGCCATGAAGGCCCCTTTTTGCCTGGCCACGCAGTGCCCAGCTCAGCAAAGCTTTAGCAAGGCCTCACTTGCTACCGGCAAATCATCGCTGCCCCGCCAAGGTCACGACTACAATCTCTACTCGGAGCCTCTTTCGCTTGCGCCAAGCCTTTTTTGCAACCCCTAAGCCCCCGCCTGGCCCTAACACGCACTGCCCAGGTCCTGGATTTCTACCACATCGACATGCGAGGACCGCTCAAGCCCTGCATCTGCATCGTGTTGCACTGCCTTCGTTGCCTGGGTGTTGTCTCGCACTGCACAACTACACATGCTGTTGCATAGCTGTTTGATCAAGCATTCTCGCTTTTGCATTGCACCGCATTGCCTTCGCATCGCCTCGCCTCGCATCGCATAGCAAGGCATGGCCGGAACGAGCACAGCACTGCAAGCACTTTTGCAGGCGCCTCGCGAGCAGCGCATCGGTGCCTTTCGTAGCCTCGGCTACAGCAGAATCGATGCACTGCAGAGCGAGCTCAGCGAGGCCCGCCTGACCATTTTTGGTCCTGCAGAGCCCGCAACGGCCGGCACCGCACCGCAGAGCGCAGCAGCAGCAGCAGCAGCCGCACCGCCCCCCACAACCACCATCCCAGCCAAAGCACCTCCCGGGACAGGGCCCCCAGCAAAGCACCAAGCCCAGCCTCCCCCCCCAGCACAGCAGGGGCAACCCGCACCGCCTCCGGAGCCCACACCGCCGGCATCGCCCCGCACTACGCCTCGCAGAGAGCGGGAGCACACGCCGCGCCGCAACCGCACACCGCCTCGCCCCAGGTGGAGCGATGTGGAAGACGACTGGGGGTCTTCTGCTCCTAGCACTGCCATGCCCTCGTCACCGCACTTCGGAGTTTGGCAAAGGCTGGGGGAAGCAAGAATGGGGCCCCCCCAACATGCACCGCCTTTTGCACAGCAGATGGCATACGCCCCTCTCACAGCAGCACCACCGCCCTGGCAACAGCAACCCGCACCGCAGCAATGGCACCCTGCCCAGCCCTGCCCCGCCGGCTGGGGATACCCTCCCCCGCCACCGCCACACGCAACGCAACGCCCGGCCTCGCGCCGCGTGGCACTGTCCCCGCACATCCACTGCGAGGTGAAGTGGTACATCTCACCCCTAGGTGATGAGCGCCCTGCCTACAAAAGCGCCAAAGGCGACTGGCTCTGCGCGGCAATGTGTGAGACGAATTGTAAGTTTGGGGGGGCGGCCTGCAACAAGAAGTTGCGGTTCCCCCCCCCAACCGACGGCCATGCACCGCACCGCTGCAGCAAGTGCAAAGAAAGGGATGATCAGGACTCGGATTGAGCCACCTGACATCCTTGCACCGCCCCGCATTGCATCATATCTGACCGTAGCCTAGCCTTAATGATAATGGACAAGCATCATTATGCTTTAGCCTAGCATCGCATCGCACTTGCAGTGGTTTTTGAAATGCACGGCAGCATCGAACTGCCCCGACTGCCGCGCCCGGCAGCCAGCAAAAAAGCACTGCCACGGCACTGCACTTCCTATATAGCAAGCCGTCGCTACGCAGCTATGCTCACTTTTGTCAGGACAGAAGCCCTGCACTGCCTGGCAAGGCCTCACTGTTGCACTCACGGGTGTGCCACTTGCCATGCAAGCAAGCCTGTCAGGACCACCGGAACGAGCACATCCAGGTGTTCTCGGCCAGGCAATGCCTGGCCCCTCAGGTTGGCCCGGCCCTGAATGCACAAGTCAGCTCTGTCGCTTCAGCTCAGTTGCCATTTCTACATTGCACAGCACAGCATGGCACACACAACCCGCAAGCAACGCACAGCATCTCCCGCAGCCTTTTTTCTGCTCAAACGGTTCAAACCATGAGACGTCGTTGGGCCCTGCAAAGCCAAGATCGCACGACCACCGCACCTTCCTCTCCAATCGAAGTGGAGTCTCAGCCAGCATCGCCTCCCAGGAGCATCACCGAAGATTTTGAGGCACATCTGGCCGCGCTGGCTTCAGAACCTGCACCGCCTTGCTCCGACTTCATAGAAGACCCTGCACCTATACAGCCTTCCATTGCACAGGTCTTCCAACGGCAACGACTGTTGCAGGCGTACCCAAAAAATCCGCCCAACGCCAAGCACAGCCATGGCGACCTTCCAACAGTCGCTGACTTGATAGTGGGCCCAACCACAGCTCGGGCAACGCCCAGGCGGAACACATTTTACCCGCCGGTCCCGCAGGCGGATAGAGCATTGCACATAGCACCGCCGCCGAAAAGATATCGGCCCGAGCCGGCACTTCAATTTGGCGGCCTGCCAGTACCGCCCCCTCCATCGCTGCCGCGCAGCCTTGCAGGATCCACTGCTACGCAAATCATCCCGCACAGCTCTCTTAAAAGCCCTCCGGCCACGCCACGACCGCCGCCGGCATCTCAGACTCCGCTTGCGCCTCCCAGGCCGCGCACAGTCAAATTCAGGACCGTGCGCAGCTCCCTAGCATCGCGCATGAACATATGCGGTACGCTTTGGCTGCAGCTAGTGTACAAGCTAGGCAAAGCCTCGCATCTCTTGCAATCGGTGGAAGCAGCCAAACAAGCCTCGGACCATATTATGGCAGTAATCCGCAACAACACGCCAGGCACGCTGGAGCGATATCTCCGCATTGCATCGCTATTCATGGACTTTCTTGGCAGCTCAGCAATCAGCTTTCTCGACGTCAGCCTGCATCGCCTACTCGATTTCCTCGCCCTAGCCAGAGCATCGCACAGCCAAGACCTTGAGATCCATCGCATCAGCGCCGCTTCCTCTATCAAAGCCCTTCGCTGGTTCGTAAGGCAAACGCAATGGTCATGCCTTAGCAACGCACTAGAAAGCCCGATTATACGGGCCTATTCTCTCAAAGGCACTGCCAAAGACCGTCGCGAAGCACTGCCCATCCCCTGGGCGCTAATCGCTGCCTGGGAGCAGCGCATTTGTGACCCAAACGCCCCCGTCACAACTGTCGTCGTCCTGGGGGCTGCACTGCTCGCCATCCACGCAAGTCTGCGCTTTGGCGACCTGCAACGCATTGACTTCTCCAGCCTATCGCTCTCCACTTCTGCATTGCACGGCACCTGCTGGGCTACGAAAACCACAGCGCAAGGCCAGCCTTTCGCAGTTACCCTCGCGGGTATCACTGGCCGGTGCAAGGCCACCTGCTGGACCTTGCACTGGCTCTCAGCATTGCACCGCATCGTGGCCTCCTCATCGGAAGATCCGCCGGATTTTCTGTGGTTCAGCACGGCACTAGACCACAGCTCGGTCGAGGAGCTTGCCCCAGCATCCTATTGCACCGCTCTGCTCAGCCTTAGATACCTGGCCACATTGCCATGGAAGGCCAGCGGCAATGGTCTCTTGCCCAGTGAAGCCAAACAACTCACCCTGCACAGCATGAAAAGCACCCTGTTGGCAGCTGCAGCACAGCTACGCGTTTACAAAGAGCTACGCCTGGCTCAAGGACACCACAGAGACAGCGCGAGGCTCTATAGCAGGAATGACACTTTCGACAGCCTAGACCTCCAGCATCGCCTCGCACAAGCATTCAGCACAGGCTGGCGACCAAACCGCAGCGTCGCCAGAGGAGGCCAAGCACCCATCCCAGAGCCTCCTTTTCACCTCCCAGCGGGGGATCCACTGCAAAGCATCACAGCTGGTATGTGTGCTTGCTCACGAGTGTTTGGTAATGTTTTGCATGCTTGCTGCATTTCATGACATTCCATGTTCATTGCAGCAAGCAGGCTCGCAGCTGCCAGCTCGCCTGCATCGCAGGCAAAAATTTTGTCCCACCCACCTCTTCCCTTTTCTTGGGGAGTACATTGCTGGCATCTGCATTCTGGTGGCGGTCTTTCTTTCTTGCATTTCTGTGGATGTCTGCATCAACATCAGGCGAAGCTTTCTTGGCCATCTTCTAAGAAGATTGACCATTCCGCATTCCTTCATCGGTGACAGGTCGGTGCCTTTTGATGCACCTCGATCTCACCGGATGGGGGAAAACATGCAGATCAGTTTCACTGCAAGGTCCATTCCTTGCTCGGACAAAACGATCTGCATTCCCGCCAGAGAACAAAAGGAGCGAGTGTTGAGCGACTGCATCAATTCCATTTATATATTCCTTTTGAATATTTCCTTTCGCTTTATATGTATTTCCATTACATATAAAGCTGCAAATAGGAAGCAGCTGCGAATACATTAACCGAACCAAGAGGTTCTGGCAGGTCCTTGGAAGGCTTTTGCATCCAGGCACGAAGAAATGCACGCCGCATCGCAACATCATCCGGCACCTACACAGCTTGACCCGGCAACGCAACAGGCCACGCAGAGCTCGCCAGACGTCATTGAGCAATTCTCGCTAGAATCGCCCGACCCCATCGCACCCTTCTCAGATGAAGAAGCCTGGATGGTGGAAAACGCGGCACTGCAACGCCAAAGCTCCGATTCCTCCAGCGAAGCATCGTCAGTGTCCTCCAAAGAACCCTTGCAAATAGACTTGGATGGACCAACACCGCTCTTTGCATGCACAGGCCCTTGGGGCTGTTGGCACTCGCTTTGCCCCCCTGACGAGTCCGGCGTGCTGCGCACAGCATGCGGGATCAAGCTAGGCCCTTAGGCACAGCCGCCTTCACTTCTAACGCACCGCCACAGCCTCATTGCCGTCGCTCGGCTTGCGTCGCACTCCGCAATGGCGCTTGAAGAAAAAAGGAACCTCTTTCTTGCTGTGGCTTTACTTGCCGCATATCCTTCAGCTCTTGCCTACTCAGGTCGCTCTTCGGGTGCGCCGCTCTGGACCTGCCCTGCACCAGATGCACCCGCAGCCGTTTTCTTGCTCGAACTACAGACTCTACTTTCTCGCTACTAGCCTGCAGAATGGAGTCTCCGGACGCACTGTCGGATCTCCTCTCACAGATGCAGGTGCCTGAAGCCCTTTGCGACGCACTGCACAAAACCGGCATTGAGTCGGTGCCCGATTTCGCATTTGCATATAACAGCACGGCAGACCTTGATGTGTTCTGCTCTGACAAATACGATGAGCTCTGGGATGAATTGGGCGTCTCAGACCCAGAGCACTGCCCAGCAATGGCGCGCCTTCGCCGAGCACTCCGCCGTGCACAATCCATGACGGAAGTGGCAGACACCCCCGCCTCGCACAGCACCGCCAGCACAGCCCAAGCGTCGCTTAACGTATGGGCGGAACACGCCCCGCCCAGACTGGACGCATCCAGCATTGCACAGCTCGTCAAGGACTTTCGCACTAACTACCCTGGTGAACACCTTGACAGCGATGCGATGCCCAGCGTGCGCTTGCTTAGCATAATCCATCGTTGGTTTTCTCCAGGGAACACCATTAGCTGGGTACCCTGGCAACTCCGACTTTCGGAGAAGCAATATCAAGAGCTCATAGAGAGCAAAGCATCGCGCGCCATCCGCACCGAAGCAGCCTTCCTCAGCACAGCACTGTTTGATGACACACCGGAAATGCCGGTTGATCATCTCAGGCTTAGCGCCGCATGGCTTGGCAGAGTTCAAACAGTATTCCGCAACGCCATAGCACTGTGCAAAGGAGCGCACCTGCAGCGCCTTAAGGCATATGACAAAAAGATTCTTGATCTGGCGACGCAATCGCCAAGCGACGCATCGCTCCGCACCGTCACCACGCAAGAGCTTGTCGCAGCTGACCGCAAACTGTGGCGCGAGATCTCGCTTTTGCACAGCGCCGGTTGGACACTGGATGACGCCCTGCATGAAATGACAAGCATCCGCTCGGACATTGGCAACCTCCTCCAGCTGCGTGCTCGGCCGCCTCCCCCCCCGCAAAAGCCACCTCCTCGCCTACCGAACAAAGGCAACGGCAAAGGCAAAGGCAAGGAGAAAGGGGGCAAAGGCAAGCAAGGCACACAGCCAGGCAAAAGGCGCACTCCCGGCGAAGGCACAGCAGGTCAAAACAGCGGACCTCGTGCAACAGCACGGCAACAAGACCTTCTGTATTCGTTACAATAAAGGGCACTGCAAGAACGCGCAGTGCAAATATCTTCACGCATGCGCATACAAAATGCCCAACGGTGAGCCTTGCGGCAAAAGTCATCCCGCCTGCCAGCACCGCAACCCCCAGGAGCCGCCTAGCTCCTGAAAACCGCAGCTGGAACTGGCCGGGCAGGCCCAGTTGCCCTCGCCTACTCTCCCGGCTGCACAGACTCCAGCCGCCACGCATGGCACACCCACAACGCCTGCAGACGTACCTGCAGCACCGGCAGGACAGCATTGCCCAAAAGCACAGCAACCAGAAGCTACTCCTTGTACGCATAGCCCAGCACAAATGCAAGAAGACAGTCCTTCGCACAGCTCCGAATCCAGCTCATCAGAAGCAGAAGATGCCGGGCCTAAGACATCCAAGCATAGATTCCTGCTGCACAGCATAGCGGAGGACCCGTTCAGCTGTGACCGGTTCTGCTACCAGGCCATGGCACAGCACAACACTATAGAAGATGAACTTTACTCTGCCTGGCATAGCCTCGTCTGGTCGGGAGCGGTCGGAGCAACACTGCTCCTGTTCCCTGCACATTCGCTTGACTTGGCATCGCACACCAGATTATGCGCGCTTCTTCGGGCAGCGCACCTCCAAGGCAGTCAGGTCTTTTTCGAGTACCCCAGGCACTGCGATGACGAGATTGCAGATCTGTACACACAGCTGTGCCAAGAGTTAGCAGTGCACTGCATACAAATGAAGCTGCCCCAGAGCGACGCCTCGCACATCATTTGCTCCACGCATGCAGCACTGGCAAGCGCAACACAGCAAGCTGATCCATACCAGCACATGCTCGCTCTTGCAGCGCAGGAGTGCACATCGCACCTCAATGCCCCTATCCAGCCAGCAATGCTGCAAAAGCATTTGCCGCGCTGCTTTCTGCCACGCAGGCCCGCGGTCTGCGATGGAGCAGTGAGCAGGCATGTTCAGCACTGCAGATCACTCTGCCAATAATGTAAGCAGTAAGCCCAAGCCCCTAGCAAAGCTAGCCTCTGCCTTTAAGCAATACCTCACTAAACACGGCCTCGTTTCGCATATTTCTAAGCACCTACAGTCAGGGCAAGACTCGCACCCGCTTAGTGAAGACCATCGCAACGCCTTGGCAGACGTTGTGCATCAGACCATGGCACCCAACATCGACAAAAACCAGTTCCTCCGAATCTCGGACGGGCAGCCCTTCCGTCTCACAGCACTGCAATACCTGGCACAAGCCATTCATGATAAAGATGCACAGCTACCCATCATCCTCGATGAGGGAGTACCTACAGGTGCTTTCGGAGCACTGCCCAGCAGCGGGCAGTGGCCCACAACGCAAAGCTCTTTAGATTTTGCAGACGACTTCAGCCCTGCATCCCTCGAGCACTGCAGGGGGAATTGGTTCCTAGCGGAAAGCAACCCCTCACTGCTGCAAGAGCTAGTGGAGGATGAGGTGCGCAAAGGCTTTGTCGCAAAGTTCGAAGGCACCGAAGAAGACGCAAAGCGCCACTGGCCGCAGGGCACTGCAATCGGCAAATTAAACATTGTTATTGTTATGGCCGAAGGACGCGACCCACGCCTGGTCCTTGACAGCACTGTGTGCGGACTTAATCCGGCCGTGCATCTCCCAGAACGGGTGTCACTGCCCAACGCCTCGGACGTGCAGCGCACATTTTTGTCAGATGACTGCTACGCACAGCTTCACGCACTGTCACTAGACTTTAAGGCAGCGCACAAATGCTGCAAAGTCAGCCCCGCAGACCAAGGCACCCTGCTGTTCCGAGTTGGCAGCTCCCTGTACTACTACAAGGTTTGCCACTTCGGGGCGCGCTTCTCGGCATATTGGTGGCAACGCACAGGTAGCCTTCTACTGCGCTGCATACATGCGCTGCTCTGTAACTACCCGCATCGAGCCTGGCTTTACGTCGACGACCTCCTGGCCCTGCTCCGCACAGCTGACAAAGACATGGCCACCGCACTGATAGTTGCACTGCTTTCAGCCCTGAACGCACCCATCAGCTGGAAGAAGGCTCAGTTCGCCCAGGAAGTCACCTGGTGCGGGTGGACCATTCGCACGGACGCAGAGACCATTGAGCTCCGCGAACTCAAATTGCACAAGCTCCGCGAGCAACTCCTTGCACTGCAACGCAAAAGCAAAGTGCAACGCAAGGAGCTGGAGGGCGTACTAGGCCTACTTAATCGGGCCACCTCCCTAAGTAAACACATGCGCCCTTTCATGGCACCGCTCTACAAAGACCTACACAGCTGCAGAGGCACACTGCACAGCATTTCACCGAGCATGTGGGGCACCTTCCTAGATTGCCTGGACAACAACGCAAAGCTCACCCGCACGCCACAGCAGGCTCTTGGCTGCCACGCAATGCCCAACTACTTGAGGTTGGCAGCCTCAAAATAGCAAGCAAAGCAGATGTGCCCCTTGTGCCGCCCTCGCACAAACACCAATGGCTAAGGCTAGCTGACCCGCGCCGCTCTGAAGTTCACCTTCGCCACGAAAGCAAATTCGTTCTGGCATGGCTGCAGCATTGCTTTGCGCATGAGCAGCCTCGCTCGCTGCGCACAGCGCCACGAATGCACTGCTACAGTGCGGCGGATGCATTCGCAGATACGCACCGCATGGGCATTGGAGGATGGATCAGCACTGCCGACGCCTTCCTGTGGTTCAGCGCCATCTTCTCTGCAGAGGAAGTGCGCAAGC